ATACTTAAAAGGGCTATTATCTCCTCTCTGTCTTTCCTACACTTCCCTACCTCCTGCATTAGGCCCTACCTGTGAAAACAACTTCAAAGCTGGCTAGTACTAACTGCAGTGTCACAAGACAATCTTTTCTCATCAAGGTATCTGGAGTTTGAAACACATAGAATAAATTCCCCCATTTGGTCAAGGACTTTTGAATAAAAGAATTGGCCCATTGATCGGCTTGTCCTTTTGAGGAAGTGTCTTTTAGTAGGAAACTAGTGGGAAGTGGAGAGCTTGCAGACACTGGGTTAACGCACCATGTAAGCTCTCTCTCGACAAGTGCTATGGGAATACTGCGCACCTTGAACTCTTCTTCAGCTTGCAATGACTCATCACAGACCTGCTGGGGCATTTGGCAGCTTCACAATGCTTGCTCCTAAATGGTCTGCTGCTTTTTGTGTCGATCCTTATCTCAGTGCCCTTGTTTGTGTATCTAACAAACAACAAGAATATTTAATACATTATCTATCTATCTGCCAAATGTGTCAGGCAGCACCTCATTCAATTATTTCCTAAAGACCCATGACTTCAACCCAATATTCAAAGTATTTGACTTGGTTTTCAGTGAGTAGTAAAAAGTAGTATAAAAAGTAATATTTCTGTCTCATTCCAGGGTTTATATAAAGTGAGGCATAATGAGTATCAGTGGTTCACTGTGTGCTGTCTGTTCCTGCATCTTCACCAGGAATCCAAAATAAAAACAATGGCACAGTGGTTCAGCAATTAAAAATTTGAGCCTTTTGGTGGTAGAATATAGTCTTCATCTGACAACAACAACAACAACAACAACAATAATAATAATCAGCATAACTTACAAAAGCTTTAGTCGTAATTTAAATTGTACTACCTTTAAAGCATATATAATCATCACATCACATTTTTACTGTATCATTAATCTTTTAATCAACTTTAAGTTGCTCCCATAATTAAATTTTAATCTTGTAATCTTGGACACTGCCAATGAAATATAAATGTTGTGCCATTACTTCATCCTTGACTTTGCAATGTACTTTGCACTGGGACTTGTAAAGCAGGACACCTAATGTTATATGTCAAAGCCAATTTTCATTGCATTTAGAAGAACAGGTGCTTCAACTGTATATCAATGTGACAAGCATTAATGCAGTCTTTCGCAGATGAGATACAAAGATACAAGACATGAAAAGAAAGATAAAATAGTTTAACATGGTGTTATCACCCTGTAATGTGATCTTATCTGACCTTAAAAGCCAAGCAAGACTGGTCCTGGTCAGTACTGGTAAGGGAGACCTTTGAGGAAACCCAGTGTGCTGTTGTACATAAAGAAAGTGGACTGGCAAGTGGTACCTATGACACTTTTTACTCTATACCAGAATTTCTTAAAAACAATGGCCAAGTATGGTAACCAGGGACACTGTTCTGTAAGAGGTACCTTCCTTCAGATTAGAAGCTAAACCAATATCCTGACTGCTTTGTCATTAAATAACTGTCAGAATTGTTATCCCTGGTGTCCTAACTAGATTCAACTCTGGGTTCCACTATTTGATCTTACTAAAATTCACCCTTCATTCAATCAGTGAAGCAATTTCACACTTTTCAACTTGCTCTACTGTAGATGCATAATGGCTGGTAGGTGCTGTAGCTCAGTAGCAGATGATGTGGATCACATCTTATATAGTATGTAAAGCATATTTGTTATTTTTCGACATACAGGTCAGGTAGCATAAGAAAAGTGGAAAAGGTATGAATCTGAGGCCAGTGGGCATTTGATCCATTGAAATTTCAGGAACAAGGATGAACTATAAGACAGTTAATGGGATATAAAAGCTGACTTTGTATTGTTGGAGAAAGCAGACAGGGCAATGGGAGGTGTGTACATTTTAAGAAGCTAACTGGTGTATTTACAAATATTTTCAGTCTTCCACTTCTCAGCATGTTGCATTAAATATCAAGTGTTTCTTTTATTGAGACTTCCAGTTATAAGTTATAAAATGATGCACTTAATCAATAACATTGAGAAATAAATAGTTTTAATTGTTGCACATGTGCAAGAGATCTTGTGAAATAAGGCTTTATGTAATGGCTCCCATACTAAAGATACCTCCACCAGAGTGACTGGGATGGCAGAGTATATAAGATATCTAAGCCAGCTTCTCACCTAATTCAGGTTCTGATGAAGGAGCCAGCAACAGTGCACTGTTGATCACGTGTGTTTCCAATTATCCATGCAACATGAGTTTAGACTCACCAAGGTTATTCTAACAAGAGAGACACACTCTTACCCTCCTGTCACAATGCACAGCTGCCAGGTGAAAAAAATAAGGAATCAAGAATCAAGGGCAGCGCTTATAGCATATTGGGAGCTAATTTCTCACAGCAGCCTTTTACCAAAGTAAAACTGAAATTGTTTAAGAAAATAAATATTATTCACAATTTTACCTGAAAGCACTGTCAAAGGTATTTTCAATTAATAAGGAAGGTTATATTATTATACACTGTGTAGAAATGAAATATTTTGCACCGCATTGTTCTGCTCTTCATTTCACATGAGCATTGTTGGATTCTTTTAAATTATTTTATTAATGTGACAAATGAGAGATTTTTTTTGCATGCAGCTCTCGTGGATTGAAATGTTGAACATTTAGCAATTGCTTTAAAGAATATAAAAACTCAATTTTATCAATAGGTAGTCAGCTGCAGTAGATTTGGAAACTGTAAAGTTTTGAAACTTTATCTGAAAATTTGAATTGAACCAGGACTGACTAGTCTCCTGTCTGACTTACTAGTCCTTGCTGGAACAAGTAAAGGCAATGTAGCTCTGGAGAGGAGTAACTGTGTATATACTGGACAGCACATTTCTATGTTAGATTCAGAGAATAACTAGCTGTTATTGTTCTTTAATACATGATTCAGGGCATTGAACAAAGAGTTTTCCATTTCAAAGACAGTTTCACAAAAAATTGCATTGATTTCGCAGCAGGCTTGTGTGACTCCAGCTCAGTTATACCAAAATTCAAAGACTCTCATGGAAAGAGGAAATAAAAAAAGACAAATAGAAATCTTTAATTCAGGTTTAATGAACCCCACATAACCTAGGCTTTAGCAGTTCTAGCAACTGAGCATGTAAATAATGAAGGCACCCACAACAATCCTACCTGCAATGAAACTGGTCTCTTATATGGATCAAAAATATAGCTGAGCTAGAAAGTTAGGTTGGTAAACAAGGGCAGCACATTGAAATGCTATCTTGTGAAACAACAGATCTCCTTTTAATGACAAAATGTAAGGTTTGCTGCAGGACAAATAGATCGGCACACAGTGGGCCTAGAGATTATCATCATAAATCTCAGATTTTTTGTCGTCATTAGATTCAATAGTCATTAGATTAGACCACGTCATTAGGGTGGTCTGAGCAAAGTATTGCATTTCGTTGTTCCACAAAATGGAATATTTATTTAAACTCGATTGCCTAGTTTTCATAAAGAGAACTACTTTAATATTGTGTTCATTGCACTTAATGGACCGCTGAAGAAAATGAAGGGTTAGATAGGTTAGCATGCTGTACAGCGTTGGAGTCCTGGGTTCAATTCCTGGGCTGCTATCTGCATGGAAGTTGTTTGTTCTCCCCATGTTCCTGTGCGTTTCCTACGGGTGCTCCTGTTTACTCCCACAGTCCAAAGGCATACTGGTAGGTTAATTGGCTTCTGGAAAAATTGGTCCTGCTGTGAGTATGTGCCCTACGATGGGCTGGTGTCCCATACAGGGTGTATCCTGTCTTGATCCCTTGCAACCCTGTATTGGATAAAGCGGTTAGAAAATGGATAGATGTATAGATCATCACTACTATTACCTTAGGAGTGTAAGAAGTACCCAGTTAAGGAAACCTCTTGTTCTTGTCTCCAAACAATGCCAGACAAGCATCTCTATTACCCATTCTCAAAACTGTTATACTACAGAGCTGAGTTTGATCTAAAGTCTAATTTATAGAATTTTCTCAGTACTATGTCAGTTTCTGTTTATACAATCCACACTTTCTGAATGTTGCTGCTAGGATGCTTTTTTTTTTCTCTGACATTGAACACTCCTCCCTCTGCAGCAGGTCTGTACAGTACTATGTTAGAAAATTGATTATGTGCTAGTTCCTTTTATGTCAAAAGAAAATTAAAGAAATGAGCAGCTCTGAAATAGAATGTTTAGATTAGGGTAATTGATGAAGAGCATTTTTTTATTCTGCTGATATGTAGATTGTGCCTCTTCTAGTTTTGCTCATGATCTAAAAATCATATGCTGTAGTCAGTGAAACAGGCTGTTTAATGTCACCTCCTGATTAATTATTGAATATTAAAGAGGGGGTCATAACTGTGCAATATAGATTTTACATCAGAACTCTGTTAGGAAATATCAATACTCACAAATAAAGTAAAAGAAAACGTATGGAAAATCAGAAAGAATGAGCTTCACAAGGACTTTTAAAAGTATTTGCTGTATTACAGTGTTCTAAAACTCAGTATGTGTTAAGGTTCACAGGACCTCCCAAAAAAGTACTTTTTAAACTAAAAGTGAAAGTAAATTTAATGGAACAAATGAGAAAAATAAGCCCATCTTAACTTCTCACTATTTCAAAAGCATTAGTATTATTATGTAATACTGTATATTCTTTTAGCAAATAGCAATTGTATTAGCTTTGTATTATTATATTAGTTTTGTGATCTGCTTCATATTTCCAGGGATTACTTTTTTTCTTCATCATTGTAGTTTGTGTTGTTGTACTATTTTACTACACTGAAGTTTTAATTTTTGTAGTCTATTTTATATATTATGTACCTTAGTTTATGTTTTAAATCGTTTTCATTATTAAAAATGGTGTTAAAAAACATATCTCACTTAACAGGGTGGCTGCAGGTACAGGTTATCTACAACAGGGCCTTAGAAATCTTGTGTAATATGAAATTTTTCATAAAAGCTATTTTTTTAACCCACAGATACATCTAATCACCCAAGAAATCCCTTTCAAGGACATGGACAGGTATCATCACCAGTAAAAGATACAAGGTTTCTTGCTGGTTCTTTTCCATCTTCAAGAAAAACGATCATTTTGCAGTACTGAAGCAGACACACAAAAGTAAAGGGACAAAAGGTAAATCAAGCAGAGAGAAAAGAAAGAGGAAACAGCTTCAAAAGGTGTGGTGTATTCCTCACCTCTCCTCTTGCCTTTGCCATTTATGAAAATGCCTTCTGGTTTCTACGGAAACGGGCCAAGGATGAATGCAGCCGCTGTCCTGTCGCTGTGGCTGGCGTTGGCCTGTCCGGCGCTGCTGCTCCTCACCGTCACATCCGCTGCACCTTCAGGCCCGGCCTCTGACACCTGCGTCACCCTGGTCCAGGGGCGTTTCTTCGGCTTCTTCTCTTCGTCTTCAGTCTTTCCGTCGCTGCCCTGCTCCTGGACCCTGCAGAATCCCGATCCTCGCCGCTACACTATCTTCATGAAGGTCACCAAGCCCACTGACGCCTGCGTGCCACGCCAACTGAAGACCTTCCAATTCGACTCTTTCCTGGAGACCACCCGCACCTACCTGGGCATGGAGAGCTTTGATGAGGTGCTGAAGGTCTGTGACTCCTCCACCCGCGTGGCCTTCCTCCAGGCTGGGAAGCAGTTCCTGCAGATGCGCAAGATGGCACCAAGAGAGGGTACCTCAGGGAGCCTGGAGGATGACGGAGAGTTCAAGGCTGAATACTTGGTTGTAGGCAACAGAAACCCCAGCATGCCGGCTTGCCAGATGTTGTGCCAGTGGCTAGAAGATTGCCTAACCTCCAGCACACCCACCCGTCCCTGTGGCATCATGCATACCCCCTGCCAGTGCTGGGAACCTGCTCCACGAAAAGCCGATGGCTGCTTCCGAGGTGGAATCTTCCTGGAGAACTGCATAACGAGCCTGAAGGAGATGACCAGAGACGCAGAGATCATGGGTGAGTCTATGTCAAACAACAACCTTTATTTCTCTCATTTCTTTTTTTCCTGTGTATTCTAGTTACACTAAAAACATTTAGTATAAGCGAAAAGAAAACACTTATTTTATGCAAAGTATGTTTAGACCTTGTTATGTTTAGATTTCTTAAAACCCAACCCTTTTCAATTTACCCCAAAAGCTGAATGATATGAACAGAATTTAAGATCTGGATAAGTTCTGTGGACAAACATGGAAGCAAAGGGGATAGTGGATAATGATTTACTGGATGGCAAGGAAGACATTTTACTTGTTATAAATGAGCCTTGTTAGAATTAAGGGTCTGGAGGGGACTGATGTCTAATTTTTTTGGTCTGAGGCAAGATGATTTAGTGGTTTGCTAAATGACTAGCAGGGGAGTTAGGTTTCTAACACTTTCTACAAAAACCTATAAGGCAGGAAAATGAGGTGTTGAATTTCAGCTCATTTTTATTGATTACGTGACCTTGCAAAACGTTCTCTTAGTCAAAATGTCTCCATCAGCAGGGCTTCACATCAGGGATATTTGATAGCCATGCTACTGTGTCGCTTGGTCTGCATTTCCATTGAAGTGGTTTATCATCATTCCCAATGGCCCTGTAGCTTCTCTCTTGTAATTTAACCCCCAGATGAAGTATCTGCTACCCTAGCCATGGCCCAGCTCAGCCAGTGCTTGGCTGCTGAGATAGGGAAGCTACACTCCAGTATGCAACCACAGAAGCTTTTGCACACTGCTCCCTAACCTATGATGTACAGTACATCTCTGGTCCTACAAGTACCAGACACACTCCTGCTTTTTCTCAATCATTCCTCTTTACTTTAACCATACTGCAACTATAAATTTGCAACATCACTGTACAAAAATCATTGTGGCCAAAATTCTGCCCATTCAGTGCAGGTAATGAGAAAATGTGATAATAATGAAGGATAATGTTGAATGAAATATCTTAAATTGAAGAAAAACAGTAAAGAAATAAATATTGGAGAAATACACAAAAATCACAGAATTGGATTTCAGAATCATGTTCAGGATATTTTTTTTCTCATTGATAATAAAATAGTCAATGATTGAGGCTGATAATGGTTTAATGAGCTGCGAATGAGGCACTCTCATCATGGTTTCATACAGATACCCCTCTGTACACAAATCCCAGTGAATGAAAACGATAGAATTTAGACTAATAGTGCAACATTTTAATTCTGTTTGCTTTATCAATAAAATACTCTTTCACATGTGTTCTAGAATTTTGTTTGCATTGATTGGGCACAATTTATTTTTGTAACTAACAGGCCTAGAGGAAGGGGATGATTTCTTTCTACAACCCCAAGCTGCAGACACAAAGAATCAAATCATTTTAATGAGTCATATAAAAGACTTGTGGTTAATTTGCCTCCTGAAACTCTAAAGCAGAAATTTCAGCTGTAATTTTGGGAATTTTGGTTGATGGAATCTCAGATATTAGTTTCAGCATTGATTTTCAGTGACAACCTGTTTTATCTCTGGATCCGAGCCACGTTTCACGTATAGTTTGTTTCCTACATAAACACAGCCTACAGGATTCTGTCAGGGAGAAAAGAGAAATTCCTTTCATCTGCAACATAAAACAATTGCTGCTAAAACTGCTTTTAAATCACATGTAATTCCATCAACAATAGGGGCTTTCCATCACACTGTGACCCAGTATGGTTTCTAATTTAGCATTGCCCATGAAGAAAATGGAGATATTCCATCAACACAGTGAAAATTGCTATAAAATCCCTCAATCCTCTTTCTATATCCAGTCTGGGTCTTTCTTTCAGTTCCTGCATATGGCTGTTTAACTTGGTTATTTTAAATCTGTCTGCATATTTGGAGCAGCAAATATTGGAAACTTGTATCATCATCTACTAGAAAAAAGTTTTTTTTAAGTAAATCTGATATCCAGTAGACAACTCTTGATGTAAAGGTCACTGAATGTGGAACATCTTTTTCACTTAATGAAGAAATTCACCACCTGTGAATCAAATCTGTGAATATCTGATTATCTGTCACTTTACATAGTGTCAGTTTGTATAGTGACTTTCACTGTAGAATTTTAAATTACTTCCCCCTTTATTTTGAAGAGATTCAGAGACATGAAAAATGGAAAACTCCTCATCAAACATGAGCAGATTGATTTTAAGACAGATGTGATTTTGTATGCTTAGTGATATAAAAATGAAACTGTCTACACAAAGCATAACATAATCAGTTAATGCATGTAAAAGGCCATTTACATTTATTAAATTTAATATAAGCTGATATTCAATGTGGAATAATTTAAACTCAACAGTGACTGAAAAAATGGGAAGAAAGATCACTGCAGGAGTGGACAGGTACTATGTTGCACTCAGTGGTCACTTAAAAAAAATAGGAAAATGTAGATGGTGCTGAAATACTGTAAAAGTTGGCTTTTGGGAAGGCAATATGTTATAGGATTATTTAGTAGAGGTTGCTTTCTCTGTTCATCTTCTGTTCCAAACATTTATAGATTTATGGATTTTTTTCTGTCTCAGTAACACTTTGTCTCTAGGCGCAGCTCACAGTCACTTCTAATACCCATTATGTGAGTAGGAGCACTGAACTTCATTGAAGTTTGCAGCTGTAGATCCACTTAAACAAGCAGATAATAAAACCATGCATATGTCAAGAGAAGTTTATCTTCAGAGTCATGTACATGTTCAAATGCTATTTCTTTTAACTTGTCAGTGTCCCACTGCTAAGAATGAGCAATGATGATTTTAGCTGAACTGATTCATTTTTCCAAATATTCTGCTTCACTAGAGGATAGAATCTTTGTAATACTGAGACAAATTCAGGCTCCTGTCTGTACAGTATGTCTGGAACACAGATAGGGGAACAAGGGACAGGGCAGGGCAGGGCAGAGGAATCAATCTGGACAGGAGGGACCAGCTCTGACAGAACACTGCAGCTGAGAAGTGACACTGAGATTGAAAGCAAAGCCCATGATAAAGCAGTGTTACATAGTCAAGTGACTTACAAAAGGTCACCAAGAGAGATTAATATGCACTGTTTCTCACAATAATCTTTAAAAAGGCAGAAAAGGGCAAAACATTCACTTGTGAGACCAAACAAAGGGTTTTCTGATACATCTAGGACTTTCTAACCATGTACTGCCTGAATGCAGAGAGCACAGTAGCATTCAGAGATGAGAATTTTGCTTGTCCCTATTGCATTTGGTGTTTCTGTGTCATTGGGCAGACAACCTATATGACTCAGTAATTTTAAAGAAATGAACAGAAAGTAAGTACCCAAGACTGCAATTTATAAAGGAACACTAGATATTCTGTGGGGGTAGTGCAGTGGTTAGAATTGAACATCACAGCATCGGAGCCATGTGTTCAATTGCAGACCTAGGGTGCTATTTGCATGGAATTTGCATGTTCTCCCATTGTTCTCATGGGTTTCCTCTGGGTACTCCTTTTCCTTCCACAGTCCAAAGACATATTGAAAGGTTAATTGACTTCTGGGAATAAATGGCCCTGGTGTTTGTGTGTGTCTGTGTGTACCCTCCTATGGACTGGCGTCCTGTGCAGGGTGTATTCTGTCTGGCTGATTCAGTCCTGGTTGATTTCAACAATGTTCAAAAAAAGAAAAATTACATGTAAAAAAAACACAATTTGCATTGTATCCACCCATAATTCAAGGGCATGGCTTCAATTGTAAAAATATGAAAAGTTATGGAAGATTTTGCTACAGTATAAAATGGCTCTTCTTTACATACAGTCACTCCCTGCTATTTGTTGATTCTTTATCTGCTGCATAGTTTCAGTGCTGACATACTTAAATCTCATTATTCATCAGTAATGCTTCTATAAACATTCATATCGATGCTGCACAATTAAAGTCTGACAGCATGCAGACAATAGTAAGGAACTACCATAATTCAAATTGTACAGTAAGTGCATTCTGCATTTTACAAACCTATAATACTTTTAATATATCTTTAATCATATTCTACAGATTAAATAAATGTGCATATGCAGTACTAGAATCTAAACCAATATTTATAATATATCTCAAATATATTAACAATATAATTGGTTACTATACAGATCACACTGTTTTCCTACACAACAATATCCAATGTCCAACTCTTTCCCTCCTAACTATCTTTTGTTCATATGTTGTTGTAGCATCACAGGTAATTAACTGTATCTCATAATATCTGTGTATATGCACTTTAGCACAATGGGAAAGTGTTCTTAAAGCATTAGTGACAAACTTAGTGTGAGAAAAAGCAATGCAAAAGCTGCAGCTCAGAGTTTAAAGTAGATGTGTTTCAGTGGTACACTGCAGCTAATTCAAAGTGCCAAAAATGGATGTCTATTGGATTATCAAAAAGTCCAGCACTAGACAATCCTCTGGTGGGCACATCCTTGCTAATAATAACTTAATTATCTGTCATTTTGTTACCTGTTGCACTTTTCAAGAATGTAACAAATAACAGTGTTATAATCAAACTGTGACCAAAAACCCACCAGAACTGCAGAGAATACAAATACACTTTGCTTTGCATCATACAAGTATTAATGCATAAGGTCTCCAGCAGGAGGCTGGTATTTATACCATGGGTACAGAAGTAATTGGGAATGATTGGCCATCAGTGTTAAGTTGAGTTAGTTGGCAGATTTCTGCAGTTAACCTATACAGATATACCCATAACATCTGACACTCCCAGTGACACTCCCACTAGATGTGCAGGACATGATGTTCCATGGAACAGGTTCTTTGAGCACAATCAATGACACCAGAAGGCAAATTCTTCATACATCTGTACAAGAATATTACTATGAGGGATCATATACTACATGCTCATAAAGCAGTGTTAAGAAGGAATCTAAAGATATTCTTAAATATATTAATGCCATGTTGCCTGTAGAAAAAAGTAATGCATGGTACAAATCATCAAATGAAGCTACCAGTAACTGAATGGCCATTCT